AGAAAATGGCCACGGACCACGTGTCAGGGGCGGAAAAATGGCCGCGGACCGTGTCACGGGAGGGAAAATGGCTGCAGATCCGGTTTGTAACCCGAGGCGGAGTTTTCAAACCGAGGTAAATTTTTGCAGCCGGAGCTGGTCGTAACCTGAAAAGTTCATTAACAGAGGCGTTCATAACCTGAGGTACCACTGTATATAGCTACCACTGGGTGCTCTAGAGTAGACATCATGTAGAGAAAAATCAAATACCAAGCTTAAGTACATGTAATTACTTTTGCTCAGATTTATCTCTTGTACCTCTTTCCCCCTTCTTCAATGTCAGTTTTAAAACCTTCTTATGGGGGGAAATCTTTTTTTTTTTTAAAACTGAAACACTATGGTAGCCACAATATATAAAATAAAACAATGCCCTAAAGTACACAACAAGAACTTAAAAAAAAAATAAATGAGGCATAAGGTTCAGACAGAAACTGAACACACGGGAAGATGGTATAAAGAGAAAAGAGGTAGTAAGAAAACAGAAACCAAGAAAGATAGTTACTGTGGAAGAAAGCAAGAGACTACTCCTTGCTTTACAGATGGGAGGACAAGGAACCTTTTGGCTCCTTGATCCTACATCACGTGCTGTCTTTTCAGTGAAGTCATGACCAAATCCAAAGCTTGATGAAAATCAAAGCAAGATTCAGGAGCAGAAAACAGCAGAGGTATTTCATCATACCCCTGCCAGTTTGTTGAGACTATTTACAATTGTTTACCTGGGGGCATCACAGTCTGTGTCAACCTGGAGCCTGCTGTGGGAGCAATTGTATTACAGTGGATGTTGTACTTCTTGCCTTCAACTGCAAGTGTGTTTGCCAGACCCAAAAGGCCAAGTTTGGCAGCACTGTAATTAGCCTGACCAAAGTTGCCATATATTCCAGCAGCTGAGGAAGTCATGATTATTCTTGAAAACAAACAGTAAGAAATTCTGGGTTTAGAATACAGCAACAAAAAGTCTGAGGGGTGATTTAAGGGGAATGCATCAGTAAAAGCAATAGAACTGGGTGGTACTACATGAAAGAACATTCAGCTCAATGCATTAACCTTTCTATAAAAAGCAGCAAATGATTTAAAAACTTAGCTAATTAGACAACACAGCCTTTAACAAAGTCTTAAAGGGCCAAGGAACATTTGCTAAATAGAAAATAAGCTGTTTCCAATATCTTCTTTTATTCTACCTTAGGAGGCTTCATACAAAATATTGGAGTAGCTGTGTTAAGGGACCCATTTAGCATGTTACTGTGACTGTCATCAGACAACATTTAATTTAATGTCTACAAAGAGCTGATATATATGCAAAGACTACAACAACTATATTCCATAATTACCGAATATAGCAGTAGGCCCTAGTGAACTCAAGAAAGCTTTACTGCAAATAAATTTGCTTTTAGAATGTGCAGTTAGTAATGAAAACTCTGGTTGAATGCAGAACAAAACAACATCAAAGAGCTGCAAGAAAAAAAGTCACATTCCTAATTTAGGGACAACTTACAGAAAACAGTTTACAAAAGAAATAATCAAAAGTGAATGCAGACAAAATAAAAACAGAGTAAACAACTCTTTTGTAATGTGATCTTTATTTCTAAACTATATCCTATTTAAATGTGACTAAGTGCAACCAATGACTCAGATGCACGTAACGGGGAAAAGCCTCTTTTCCTGAAAGGATATTCAATTTTAGATTTAATCTATCAACATTTAAAGCAGTCAGCCTATTCAGAGAACTGGCATTTCACCCAAACAGCACAGGTAGCTCTCAGTAAAGAGCTAGCATTGTTTTGGCTTTAGGGCTAATGGAAAAGCTGGTTAAAAGCCAGCTTCTAATGTAGGTGGCATATATCAGTTCCAGAATCCAGCATCTCCTTTGCCACAAACTCCACCTTGTGGATTTCAGCGATGGCTAATGGTGATTCCCATAATGCCATAAAAGATCAGAAAAGGTTGTGCTCTGGGCTTCTAATTAAACACTGTTGTGAATGATACCACTGTGGCAGGCCATGTGCTGCTTTTTCGAGCTACTGAGGTACCCAGTAAGAAACCACCAGCCATGGTGGCTTCTCCTCCACTATCCCAACTCTAGGATGCAGTTGGAAATCTTAGGCAAGACTCCCAATTTCAGTCCCAACAGCTACACCATGGGAAATAAAGTTTATATGGCTGTTGGAAGGATAATAGATAAATAATGCATGTGGAGTGTTCTCAGCACTTTAAATGCTACATAATGTTGATATAATTAACTGTTACTGTTGCTTTTTAAAAACCACCTGATAATAGTCTGATATACCACTGTTTGGTTGTTTGTAGAAATGAGGTCTATGCTTTAATTGCAATAAAAGTTTTGGATGCTGAGGATTTTATGGAGAAATAGACATCAAGACAGTGTAATCATAAAGTACTTTCTCTGTTGCTAACCTAGATACAGTCTTGGATTGATCAGTATATGTTTGGTGAGCAATCAAGTCTACTTACCTTCCAAATTTCTGATTTTTCATATGGTTCCATGCAGCTCGGGTTACCAGGAAGGACCCCCTCAAATGAACTTTGTGAATTATATCTAGAAACAATTCAAGCCACTGAATACATCTATACCTTGAAAAGGCATTAAGAACAAAGTGTTTATTTAAAAAATGGGCTATGCTACATCATCAACTTACCCCAGTCTTCGTCACTGATCCTAGCAAATGAACGGTCCCTCAAGATCCTACATGTTAAAGAGGAAAAAAAGAAGAGGGAAATTATCATGAATTGAATAAAAAATATTGCAGTATATCAGAAAGGGAAGAAAATAACATCTAGATCAACTTACCCAGCATTATTGATCAGAATATCTGTAAATTAAATCCATACAAAACTATTAAGAAACATATCTAGCCATTCTTGCTTCTGACATGAATGAAACATTGATTAGCACACTATTTGCATTTAATTTTGTGCTTACCCAAATTGACAGACCAGATAAAGGAAAACAGACTTTCAGAATTCAAAACTATTATGCTTGTGAAAGACTGGCAAAGACTCTAGACCACTGCATGCAGGATTGAACTATGATAATATCTTAAGCAGTAAAAATGAACTAGGACATAGAAAGGAACCCTCTGCATTTTTATGTAGAATGAATTTAATAGTTTCAGAACTCTGGGCAAGTGCAATAGAGAGTAATTTGCTTGCTTTCTGCAACAAGTATAACTGCTTAACAGCTTCATTCTAATTCAAATGCATTTCTGTATCTGTATGAAGTAACATTTATAAAATAAAGAAAAAAGAACATGCTGATGCATGCTATCCTAGCTATTTGCTGGTACAGCATGTCCAAGTTTCAGGCTACCATTCAATTTAGCACAAATATACAGTGCTGCTAGTGTGAAAAAGATCTTATCTAAAAGAATAGCCATAATGGCTTTTGCACATGTGTAACTTAGAGTGAAAAACTGAAAACTCTTATGAGGATTCTTTAAGGTTGCTTTGTTATCATCAATGGGATGTGGCTTTGAATATACAAAAAGGATATTTTTCTGATTTTGCTCATTCATCTACTCGATGGAAAGGTCTTTTCATGATCAAAGCAACTTTGCTTGATTTCAGTGGAACTTTGATTTCTTCTAAGAGAGAACTTTGTGTTGATACTAGCAAAGCAATACTCTAATAACATCAAAAATTGTAACTTAAAAGAAAGCTGCAGATGGAAAAGAAAGCAATCTTGAAAAAATTGAAAAAAGGAGGAATCTTCTTGGAAGAAAATATCCTGATTACTGCTAGCACTAGTAATTGCAGCTTTCTTCACAAAGTAATGTAATTTGTAAAAGAGCCTAATAAAGCCATTTCTTTGTTCTGGCGGTCTCTCCTGAATATTAGATTATTCAATTTTTTCATGGAGTAATACTGAATAAAAGTTACAGTAAGGAGCTTCCAACTATCTAATCCCACTAACTACGCCTCTATTTTGAAATATACCTATTTTCCCAAAAGCATCCAGAGCGGTTTGCACAAGCTTCTCACCAGCTTCTACTGAATCTGAGGAAAAAAGCAACACAAAAGAAATAAACATAGAGATCAGAATCTACTAAAATGACAGAGATCCTACCACAATGGGAGGAGAACATGAAATGGTAATAGAATGTAATCTTGAGGGAATATTCTGTACAAATATTTTCTTTCATAAGCAAATTATTCATTTGTGTGCACTTGCCAGTGAGAGGAAGTTCATGACAGATAAAGACAGAGGTTGTTCCTGTAACTGCAGCTACTGAAATCTTTCAGCTGTATTCATAACTCCCTGAGGTAATATTAACAAAAGTGGATATCTACGGCTAGGAAGAACAGGTTGCACAGAGAAATAAATACTGATTTGGATTCTAAATGTTCTTTTTTATGAGTGGGAGAATACAAGCTTAGGCATAAAAGCCAATATCCTCATTTCCCAGTTGTGTCCCCATCTTCCAAAAATATGCTATTCCAAAGAGATCCCTTTCAGGAGTGACTATAAACACAGGTACAAATTCCAGGAAAAAACTGTACAAGTGGGTGCAAGGGTCTGCTTGTGGTGGTGCTACATGAACTAAATATGCAAATGATTGTTTGTAACCGAGCTTTCTTATGGTCAGAAAAACAATGGACTGTTAATGACACATGGATAAGCTTGAAGATGAAGTCAGGAGAATGCAGTTACCTTCAAATGACAAAACATATTTTTCAGATACAAGAATGCATCAGTGCCATCAAACATTATACAGTGGCACATGATATTTGTCATATTCATACAGGGGGATTATAATAATTCACTCACTTGCATAGTGTATTTATCACGTGCTAGGCTTGGGTGTGCACTGTTATGTCTTTAAGGAAACCCAGAACTCTGTGAAGCACAGTGGATATGCACAAAACAAAGAATACACTATTCCTCCCAAAAGAACCCAAAGTCTTAGCTTTTAAGATAAGTATATCAGTTCTACCTGGATATTTTTCATGTAATGCATCTATATACTATATATGTTTTAAAACCAAACACCACAACATAACAAAGAATAAAAATCTGGTGGGAAATGAGCCTTACCTGTAACATTTTGAAATGAATCACATTTTGGAATTATGGATCATGGCTCCACATTATACAGTATGTATCTAACATGGATTTGCTATCACAAACAATCTATGAGTCCACTAAATATCATGTAATTCAAGGCACATCAGATATCTCTCTTGAGTGGTAGCATGACCAATTTCTACTGACAGAAATAATTTATCATGGGACAGTCATTTAAAACTTCAGGGAACTTTCTGATTTCATTTTGATTATCATTTATCACAATCATTTCAATGACAGAATGGCAGATGCTTTTCTCCAGATCTGTAGCATGCACAACTCTAAAATTACAGCTGTAATTTATCTGCAGATATTTTCACGGGAGAATCATACCATAATTAGCTACTGCTTTTCCACCTTTGGCTCGTATTTCTTGAACAACTTTGTCAGCAGCTGAAGAACTCTTTCCGTGTCCCTTGATGTCACCTCCAAGATCATTCACTGTGAGAGAAATAAAAAAGACAAAACAGAGAAATTGTGTCCAACTGGTACTTAGATAAAATAGCTGTCATTCTCAGTGGTCTCCAGTGATCATTCAGGCATTGCCTCAGTGGTACAGTGAAGACTTCGTGCTGTAATGAATGTGTAAATTCTGACTTTGTGTTGGTGAGACCAACCGTCAGGCAAGCACCTGTGCTAGCATCTCCTATGTAGGTGTGACAATAGTGTAAGTATTTGCCATCCTACATGTAACTGAACTGAGTCTTTGTCATAAGAAAGAGAGTTTAGATTGTACACACTGTTAATATTTGGGTCTCTCTTCACAAACTGCTATTTGAAGAGGTGTTTTTATTCTTGCAGCAGTTTTGCAGTTGTTAGACAACTTGGCTTATCCAATCAGGTGTTCTAAGGACTAAATACTATTTCCTCTATTCGAAGTACTTTATCAATTGCATTAATCTTAATGAGTGGCTTCTTTAAAGCAGCAGCATCTTTTCTTTTTAAAACTCACATGGAAGCCTGAAAAAGTCTGGCCATTTTAATGAATACCAGAGTAGTGCTACAGTTTTTTTGTTTTTTGTTTTATTTCCCTTGCTAATAGCTCAAAGTTCACTGGGTCAAAGCAGTATTCCTTTCAATCGGGGCTCAGACCTAATTTACTTTTATACAGATAGTTCTTAATGATTTATTTTTACAGATTTTATAGCCTGCCCAAATCAAAAGGCTCCGAAGGGGTAGAACAAATTATACATTTTTTTTGCAGGATTTTCAGAAAGAATATATAAAGATTAACACATATCCCACACAACATGGCAAGTCCAATCTTGCTTTTATGGAATAGGTGAAAAATATTTTGGTTGAAGTATGAAACCAATCTTGAGAAATCATCAAAGAATCCATATTTTGTGCTGGATATACAAGGATTGTAAGCTGGATATAAAAATGTGTGTTTTAAACTCTGGGCAAACTTTTTGTGGCAATAAGCATAAAAGTTACTGATTATCTGAAAGCGCATCAACCTTTGACAGATGCAAGAATTTACTACTCCTTCACAAACTATTTTTAATCTAAAAAGCAATTCCAAAACACTGCATCTTTTCATGATGAATGGAGTGTTAGCTACCTAAATAATGCAGAAAATTCCAAATTAAGCAATAATATCACAAAATAATTCATCTAGGAGAACAGCTCAAAAGAGAGCAAATTATACTCAAAAACTTTGTTTTTATGAAGCAGCATCTCCCCCATGTGGTCAAACCTGATAACGTTTTAACCAGAAAAATGATAAGTTTAATCATTTATTTGGATTGACAGACTACATTTAAAATATACTGAATACACAGAATATATTTAATCACCAGGAGTTAAGTTTAACTCAAGAGAGTCTTGATGTTTTAGTTGCAGTTTATTTAAAAGGAACCACTTTTGGGGAAGGGTGATTTAAAAGTAATTTTAAATTTCCAACATTACTTTTTTATTTCAACTAGACCTTGCATTTTTCTTAAACTGCCTTCATTTTTCTTGCTAGCCACCCTTCCTTTTGCTTCCAATTAGATACACATCACCCACAAAACGAGAACCAGTTTGGTGTAGCAGTTAAAGCACCAGACTAGAAACCTGGAGGCCATGAGTTCTAGCCCTGCCTTAGGCACAAAGCAGGCTGGGTGACCTTGGGCCAGTCACTTTCTCTCAGCCCCAGGAAAGAGGCAAGGGCAAACCACTTCTGAAATCTTGCCAAGAAAACTACAGGGACTTGTCCAGGCAGTTGCCAGGAGTCAACACTGACTCCAAGGTACCAAATATATCCATGAAATACAGAAATATATACAATAATTTTTCTTATATTTTATAGTTTTGTTACTTTTTGATTCATTCTGCTTTGGCTTATGTTCGTACTGGGGAAATATCCAGGTGCAAGTGGGCTCAGCTCCTCAGAAAAGACAGGCCTCTGCCCTTTTCACCAAAGGCATGGGGCAAAGCAGGGAGATGATGGTTCTGAAATACCCATATATAATGAGTTTCCCACCTGAAAACAAAGGCATCCATTGGAATTCTTATATTTCACCTTAACAGATTTCTTAACAAATCTTGCTAATGAACACTCAGAAAGATTTGTTCTTCAAAACTTCGCTTCCACACTTGCCTGCTGTAAGAGTCCTCACAAAAGCAAAGTAGTAAGCAAAATTACTTATAGGCCAATATAAAATTCCTGAAAGTTACTGAGCAGACCAAAATAGTTTTATTCAAATTGGATTTTCATTTAAAAAGAATATTTGTATTCAGTGTTCCTTGCAGGGCTTCTGCTTCCACTTAACATTATCTGTAAAATTATTCTGTTTATATTCAGTCATATGCTGACCACAGCAGCCATATAAAACAATTAAATAATAAATATTTAATGTTATGGTTCTTATTTTAGTAACAGAAATAAAACCTGATTTCCATTATTTAAAAATTTGGTTTTAAATTCTAAATCAGATGATGATGATGATGATGATGATGATGATGATGA